GGATATAAAGATGAAAAAGAATGCTGTTCCTATCCTTCATGGGGACTGCCAGCTACAAGAAGAGCTATGACAGGTACACAAGGATGTATCACACAAGACACAATGTGATAAAAGCAAAGGAAATGACCAAACACAGTTCTATTAAAGTAATTGAACCAGATGTTCCAATAGTTTCAAAATCCAAATCCTATTAAAGAACATTCATAGGAACATAGTAAAAAAGCCAGGACAGATGTCAGTACCTATCTAGTCCAACCTCTTCATGTCACAGATGAGGAAACTAAAGCTCAGGGAAATTAAATGATATATTTGAGACTTCACAAGTAGTAGATATCCAAGGAAAGATTTGAACTCAAGTCCCTTGACTCAAGAACTGCTGTTGTTTTGTTTTGTTTTGTTTTCTACTTTATCATGCTATCTCCTTTTGAAAAAGAATTTGAAAAACTCAGAGAGTTTACTTCTAGCTGAGGAAAGGGATCAGATAAGGATTCATAGAGGACATGGCATAGAACTAGGACTGGCAGGAAGAGAGGTATTTCAACAGATAGGATTGTGGAGAAAATGAATTTCAGATCTGTTCAAGCATACAAAGAGTAGAGATGGCAGGATATGGTTGGGAACAGTTAGTAAACTAATTTGGCTATTCAAATAGAGTACATGAGAAAGGAATAGACTGACACAAAACTAGATAAATAGGTGGAAGCCAGTTTGCAGAAAGCCCTAAATGCAAGGCTACAGAGTTTGGGTTTTGTGTTAAAGTAAACATGAAATCACTGAAGATTTCTGAGCAGAACAGTGGCATGACTCTATCTGTATTTTAGAAAGACAACGGCTCCTTTTGGAAGGATGCATCGGAAATGAGAGCAACAGGAAAGAGAGACTGACCATTATATCTAGCTAGGTAAGTGGTATGAAGTAGAGGCATGACTCTCTTAGTGCAGAAGAGAAAGAAGGTGTCAGAGATACTGTTGTCATAGAGTTGACAAGATTAAAAATTAAACTGATTAAAAATGAGAAGAGTAAAAAGCAAAAAGTAAAAAAGTAAAAAAGAGTAAAAAGTAAAAAGTAAAAAAAAAATGAGTGGGGTTTTGTGCCTTGGTGACCATAGAGGATAGTGACACCATCAATAGAAATAATAAAGATGGGAGGAGTGTGTTTTTTTTTCTTTTTCTTTCTTTTTTAAGTGGTGTATTCAACAACTGATTTGCAGGCAACTTCACAATATAGTGTGAATATTCAACTTATTTTCATGGAGAATCCTAGTATGTTCATGCTACAAGGGACACCAGAGAGCCACTAGTCTCTTCTCTTTATTTTATGCCTGTGGAAACTGTAGCCCACTGAAGTTAAGTAATATGGTTATTAAGTGTTTTATCCAGAACTTGAACCCAGGTCTTTTCATTCTTTGTCCAATGCTTCCCCAATACAATAGAAAGCACTTTGAGATGGGGGAAAGAAAGACTTCATTTTTCTTTACAAAATATTTTTACAGGCAGCTGGAGTTTTAACAAGGAATGTAGGTCATCAGAATTCAATTAATCTACATACAGAATAGTTTAGGATCCATTCAGAAAGTATGCCACAAGAACATCTGTGACCTGAATCCAGCAGCCTGCAATCATTGGAATCATATCCTATTTGTGATGAGTATTTCTACCAGCGAGAAGGAGGGGTTTACTCACACAGTCTCTAGCTGGAATATAAATACTTTTATTAACAGTGATACTCCTTCATTCACAGAAGGGATCTTAGTAGTATAGATGTTAGTGCTAGAAAGGACCTTAAGTGCTAATCTCATCCAAATGCTTGCCTTCACTAGGATAACCCATCATTATGCCCTTTCAATAGATGGCCTATGCTAAAAAGTTACTGCATTATCTCATTATAACCTGTAGGTTACTCAAGGTTATCAAAAATCTATGCAAGTATATCCATGAGCTCTGGCAGGTTTTACCAACCTGAAAACATTTTGATTATGGGTCCTGTGATGTGTATCTGTCTTCTGACAATCAGCATAGGTAAGTTAACCAAACCACAGATGATGATGATTATTATTTCTTGCCTCTGTAACTTATAAAGACTGTGTACTTAAACTTGAGGAGGCTGAGATATTTATTGAGGGGAGGGGGCAATAACAGAGATGAAATCAAAGACCTTCTGAAATATTTAAACAATTTTAGGCAATCTACTGAGTTTCAGAGAACTTGTGACCCTCCAAAGGTCACAAAGCCAGTTAATAGTGGAATAGGCACTAAGAACATAGGCACTTAGATCTAGAGCAGGAAGGGATCTCAGAGGCCTTTATTTTATAGATAAGAAAATGGAGGTGAAAGGAGGTTAGGGATTTTCCACAGACCACACAGATAAGCAGTCAGAGACAAGATCAAAACTCAGGTCAGCCGAATGCCAGGGTTGGTATTCTTTCACTTGTACGACACTGCCTTCCTAGAACTGTTCACTTAGAGGAAATGGGAGTTTTTAGCCTAGAGAAATCTCACTAAGTGGCATAATAGTTGTCTATATGTATTTGAAGACCTGCCAAGCAGAAGAAGAACTATACCCATTATGTTTGGCCTCAGGTGGCAGAAGGGAATAATGGATTGACATTACAAAAAAGGTCAATTTAGGACCGCCTTTAGGAAAACTTTCAAATAATTAGAAATATCCATAGTGTAAAGTGCTACCTCTTTAGGTGGTAAACTTCCTTTCCCAATAGGTCTCAGTAGTTTGGAAAACAATTTGTGATGCATGTTATAGTGGGAATTTAATTTTGATTTTTTTTTTTTGTATATGAGTTTGACTAAATGGCACTGAGGTCCCACTTAATTCTCAAAGTCTGTGATTCTGTAATTAACTTACTAATTGACTAATTAACTTATTGTTTTTCCACTTCACAACATGCTTCCTTAAGAACCACCTCTCCAAGAGCTACAGAGATCCAATGCTACCTTAAAATTCAAACTGTCTTTTTCAGTTAATATAATTCTGCTCTTCTAACATAACTAATTCTATTATAACCTATCTAATCCATTTTCCTCCTCCTCTGATTAAAACTACCTGAGATCCTAGATGAGACTTTTACTCTTTAAATCAGAGAGAGCCATTATTTATGGTAGAGATTCTTATATTGTGGCCCAGTAAGTTGCTTTTTAAAAATATATATAATTTCATTTAAATACAACTGGTCTTTCATATAAAATTTTCTAGTTTATTTTGTGCATTTAAAATCATTGTGAAAGGGGTCAAGAGTTGTTTTGTTTTTGTTGTTGTTTGTTTGTTTTGTTTTATTTTAAGTTTGCCAAAGGACTCCATGACACACACAAAAAAAGAAGCTGATTTATGGCACTTGCAAGATATATTTTTCTTTGCCTAGGGAACCTATTTTTGTGATGCCAGGCAAGTCAGGCATGCTGACTGAGGTTCGTGGCAATCTCACCCTAAAGAGCGTGTTCAAATTTATCAAATTGGATGACATCATGGTTCTTCATTTCCCTGAGCATTAAAATTCACTAGACGGTAAATCAGCAGAACTCCTAAAAACACGAGAACATAAGTTTGCATATATTAAATGAGACAACCCAAGGAATTTTTACCAGTGAATTTGAGGAACAAAACTTGAATTAATGGGTACACTTAACAGAGAATTCTTTATACTGTATTGCCCTGTATCCTAGTAGATTCTTCACAGTTTTACCATAATCACAATACTATGTGTACCTTTTTTATTTCATCATTCAAGTACATCCACTAGAGAGTAATCAATTTTTTTAAACTTCCAATTACTAACAACCCAAGCAATTCCATCTGTGTTCTGAATTCTTTCAGTCAAAGATTGGCAAGGTCCTTCGTGAGAGAGGCAAATAACATGTTTTGTCAATAGCCTGTTAAACTAGGCTTAAGCCTGAACCTTGGTTTTGTTCACAGTGATGGAAAAAAGTCTATTGTAAACTAAAATCAACATTCAATTATTCAGAGGTAGATTGGCAAAGCTTGTCAAATCTGCAGGCTCATGTATTTTCATCTTTACTTCGTGCTAGCATCTTTCTCTAAGAGGTGAATGAAAGAAAAGTTGAGATAAAATTCAAATTCATAAATTTTATAAGTAGTTTTTGATCATTTAATTACTCTGGAGTCCCTATATGTATTTGTGAATATGTATTTACACACATCTGTGCATGTGTGAATGTGTATTTACAGATGAATTAACAAATTATTCTTTATACTTTGTTGCCTTAAATTTCCTAGCGAATTCCTCACAGTTTTACAATAATCACACATATACATACAAAATAACACCCCCCACATAGATACATACACTTATCCTGATGCATGATGTACATGTGTGTGTATTTGTATGCATGTATTTATGTATAGAGAGAATGCATAAAAGATGACTCTATTGCCTCAAATGAACACTTTAGATTGTGATGATTTTTGTTTGTCTCCATTCTCCCAGTTCTTCATTGAATACATGCACGTATGTGTATATATGTGTAGTGTGTGTGTGTATTCCATAATCACAGAATACAGAATGGAAAGGCACCTTGGAGTACACATCTAGTTCAACCCCTCAATTTTATTCATGAATAAACAGAGGCCGAATAACCAAATCATTAAGACAAAGCAGATGAGGGACCCTTTTACCCTTTCCTTCCCTACTTTCAACTCTCAGCAATCTCTCGGTCTCTCTCTGTCCTTCTCTCTCTCTCTGTCTCTCCCTCTCTCTCTTTCCCTCTCCATTCACCATCCCTCTCTCCTCCCTCTTTTTTTCACTCTCTTTTGTCTTTCTCTGTCTCTTTTTCTATTTCTCCCTTTTCCCTTCATGTTCCCCTCCCCCTTATATGAATGCAAAGTGAACCATACCACAAAGTATGATTTTTCTCAGTTCCACACCACTAGTGTATATCCGTGTTGGCCCATGTCTTTATACATGTTGCTGAGGCCCAGTTCATCTAACTTCATGCAAATTCAAAGTAAATGATACCTGAAACCCATCTCACCTCATAATCAATGTCCAAATAGTCCCCATCTCCTTTTGCCCGGAAATGTTGAGTGTCCTTGTCCACTGTGAAGTTCACTTGCTTATTGAACCGCTCAATGAGGACTGAGTGCCAGTGCTGGTCATCCAGGAGACTGCCTAGTGTAACTGAAGGCTGGCTGTTACTGAAACGACGTTTGCTGTCACCTGCCAAGGGCAAAAAAAAATAGAAGAAAAATTAAAGCATAATTGTAACAGGGCCTATTGTAACACTCAAATACCAGGGAGTTCAGACAAGCAAATATATACTTAGTCAATAAATATTTATCAGTTGCCTATTATGATAATAGTATTATGCCAGGCACTGAAATGAATAAAAAGAAGCAGTAGACACTCTCCATGCCTTCCAGGCCCTTGCTATTTAATGGATGAAACATATATACATGTAAATGTTAAATAAGCTGAGGTAGTATTTGACAAGTGTCAAATGAATGGTGTAAATTCTTTCATTGTTGATCAGAGGAAGAGTTCAGTGGGACGAATGCTAAACATATAGTAGCCACTTAATAAATGTTTGCTTGTTGATTTGTCTGGAGTAGTCTGTGGTGTAAAATCACTCATAATAAAATTGAAAATGTGTGATGTCCCTTGAAAATTACACAGAATTTTGATTAGAAAGAAGAGGGGAAAGAACTTTCAGGTACGGATGACAATGGGAACATCAGGACCAAATCAATAATTGGAAGAGAAGAGCAGGTCAGGACAGTAGGTTCATGGATCATGACTCTCTGGCTATTAGCCATGTCAGAGAACAGTTCTTGGCTTCACTTCTTTGTATCCCAACTGTAATCTTTTCTTTCCTGAGGAAAGGAAAGGCTTTAGCTAAAAAAAATCTATTAAGGTTTAAGAACACTAATCAATTCAGAGGACCCATGATAAAACAAGCTACCACCTCATGATAGAGAGGTGAAGGACTTAGGAAATAGGATTGTGATGAATGTTTTTTGAGACATAGCTAATGTAGATATTTATTATCTGTGATTATGTCTATTTTATCAAAATGGTTTTTTTTTTAATTTTTCAGTAAGAAGGACATAGGAGAGAGCTGTTTGCTAGTTAAAAAAAATAAAGAAAAATTCTTATAAATTCACATGTTCTCAAAGAAGAAATCCCCTTGCCTTTGGAATGTATTTTATTACAATCAGTGAAGCAATCAATCGATTAAAAGGCATTTACTAAGTGATAACTATGTGACAGTTAGTATGCTAAAGTGATGGAGATACAAAGTAAAAAAAAATCCCTGTTTTCAAGGAGTTAATATTCTAAATGGGGAGAGAAATCAAATAAATAAAAAAGATGTAGTTGGATTGCATTTGAGAATTTCTATAGTAATTTTGATAATGAAAAGTTGGTACCTGACTTAAAAACTTAACTTTTTAGCCTAGATGTAACGCTATATGGCTTTGAATCATGGACCTCTGAATCTCTGAAAAATCAATCAATCATTTGGCCAAAAGTTATTAAGCACCTTCTAAATTAATATTGCAAGAACTGAAAAAGAAATGTGAGACACAGAGTGGGCATAAGTAGCTTGTGGCTTATTCTCTCTTATGCCTTTCACATAAGAAGCAGTTTCAAGGGATGTCATCCAAGAAATGTGTGCCTGGAAATGGAGGTGGTTAGTCATACAATAGAAGCAAAAGACAAGAGATGGACAGCCTGAATATTGCACTGGTACTCTTGGAATGTCAAACAGCCTAGAGGAAGGCCTCCACTTATCCAAATAAATCACAGTGGATTATTTATAGGAAGTAGACACTTTAACAATAGATCACATACTTTAAGATGAATTTCATTCTTTGGTCTATGGTATATACTGAAAGCATAAGAAAATAAAAGTGACTTTGAAAGTCCAGGGCATAGGTAGGTTCCATTCTGTACTATTGTCATACCCACATCAAAAGGATTTTATATCTGTCCATATAAATAACTGTAGTCATCATTTTTTTGCTTGTGTCGGGCTTTTTTATTGTTAGTTTTTTTATTTTTTTAAATTTTAAAATAATTTATTTTTAGTTTTCAACATTTACTTCCACAAAGTTTTGAGTTCCAAATTTTCACCCCATCTTGCCCCTCCCCCACCCCAAGATGGCATGAATTCTGAATATCTCTTCCCCTAGTCTGCCCTCATTTCTGTATCTCCCCCCCTTCTTTTATCCCCTTCCCCTTCTACTTTCCTATAGGGCAGGATAGATTTCTGTACACCATTTCCTATATTTCTTATTTTCCAGTTGCATGTGAAAACATTTTTTTAAACATGTGTTTTTAAAACTTTGGGTTCTAAATTTTCTCCCTTCCTCTCTCCCCACCCACCCTCATTGAAAAGGTAAGCAACTCAATATAGGTTATACATGTGCAGTTATGCAAAACATTTCCATAGTAGTCATGTTGTGAAAAACTAACTCTATTTCCCTTAATCCTATCTCGCCCCACCCCCATTTATTCTATTCTTTCTTTTGCCCCTGTCCCTCCTCAGAAGTGTTTGCTTGTGATTACCCCCTTTCCCAACCTGCCCTCCTCTCTATCATTCCCCTGCTCTCTTGTACCCTTCTCCCCCTATTTTCCTGTAGGGTAAGATCTATTTCCATACCCAATTGAGTGTGTATGTTATTACCTCCTTAAGTCAAATCCTATGAGAATAAGATTCACTCATTCTCTCTCACCTTCCTCTGTTTCCCCTCCACTGTAAGAGCCTATTCTATTCTGTTGGGTTTTTTTTTGTGAGATAAATTACCCTATTCTATGTCTCCCTTTGTCCTCCCAGTATAGTCTTCTTTCACCCCTTAATTTTATTCTTCAGATACGACCCCTTTATCTTCAACTCACCCTGTGCCCTCTATCTATCTATATCTATATCTATATACATATATATATATACATATATACATATGTACATATATATACAATATCATTTTTTTCCCTCCAACTACTCTAATACTGACAAAGGTCTCATGAGTTATAAATATCATCTTCCCATGCAGGAATGTAAACAGTCCAACCTTAATAAGTCTCTTATGATTTCTCTTTCCTGTTTACCTCTTCATGTTCCACTTGAGTCTTGTATTTGAAAGTCAAATTTTCTATATCAGCTCTGGTCTTTTCATCAAGAATGCTTGAAAGTCCTCTATTTCACTGAATGACCATATTTTCCCCTGAAGGATTATATTCAGTTTTGCTGGGTAGGTGATTCTTAGTTGTAATCCTATCTCCTTTGCCCTCTGGAATATTATATTCCATGCCCTGTGGTCCCTTAATCTAGAAGCTGCTAAATCTTGTGTTATCCTGATTGTGTTTCCACAGTACTTGAATTGTTTCTTTCTGGCTACTTGCAATATTTTCTCCTTGACCTGGGAACTCTGGAATTTGGCTACAACATTCCTAGGAGTTTTCCTTTGGGGATTTCTTTCAGGAGGAGATTGGTGGATTCTTTCAATTTCTATTTTGCCTTCTGGTTCTAAAATTGCCAGGCAGTTTTCCTTGATAGTTTCTTGAAAGATGATGTCTCGGCTCTTTTTTTGATCATGGCTTTCAGATAGTCCAATAATTTTTAAATTATCTCTCCTGGATCTATTTTCCAGGTCAGTTATTTTTCCAATGAGATATTTCACATTGTTTTCTAATTTTTCATTCTTTTGGATTTGTTTTACAGTGTCTTGATTTCTCATAAAGTCACTAGCTTCCATTTGCTTCATTCTCATTTTTAAGGAAGTGAACTTCAGCAATCATTTGGACTTTTTCCATTTGGCCAATTTTGCTTTTTAGGGCATTCTTCTCGTCATTGGCTTTTTGGACTTCTTTTCCCATTTGGGTTAGTCTATTTTTTAAGGTATTATTTTCTTCAGTATGTTTTTGGGTCTCCTTTAGCAAGCTATTGACTTGTTTTTCATGATTTTCTTGCACCACTCTCATTTCTCTTCCCAGTTTTTCCTCTACTTCTCTCACTTGCTTCTCAAAAGCCTTTTTGAGCTATTCCAAGACCTGGGACTGATTCATATTTTTCTTGGAGGCCTTTGAATTTGTTAAAGATTCCATGGTCTGACACTCCTTGTGAGTTTTGCTCATGATCCCAGCCAATTATTTGAGTTATAAACCCTTTATTAAGGTAGAGGTCTGCTTCCAATATGGAGAATGTACTGTCCCAAGCTTCAGGGGTTTGTACAGCTGTTTTCAGAGATACTTCTAGGGACCTGTAAATTTTCAGTTCTTCCAAGGTGGTATGATAAGGGGTGAGGAGTTTACTCCTTTCCTGGCCTGTGTCTGATCTATGAGTGACCACAAGCCCTCTTTTCTGTCTTGGAACTTTGAGGAGGATTTCCTCTCTACCACACTAGTGCTGCTCCTCCTTGCCCCAGAACCGCCCCTCAGAACTGTGACCCAGATCCAAGCAAAGCAAGAGATTCCTGCCTCAGCACTGGAAAATAGATCCCTGCAATCCCCTCTGATCAGCCACTCAATTCCCCTCAGTCTGTGGGCTGGAAGCTCAGGAAACAGCCGCTGCCTGGGCCATGCTTGGGAACTGGGGCTGAGACTTATCTTCTTTCACACTACAGAAACAGAATTTTCCCACTGACCTTGTAAGTTGTCTTTGTGTTCATGTGTTGAGAAGTCTGGAAACCACCACAGCTGCCTGTGAATCAGTCCTCTGAAACCTGCTTCAGGTTCACTGTGGCCTGCGCACCCATGCCGAACTGCGCTCCTCTCCCAGCCCAGCGCGATATACCTTTCTGATCAACCATACAGGTTATCTTGGCTGGAAATTTGTTTCACTCTTTCTTTTTATGGGTTCTGCTGCTTTAGAATTTGTTTAGAGCCATTTTTTATAGGTATTTGGAGGGGTTTGGGGGAGAGCTCAAACAAGTCACTGCTTTCACTCTGCCATCTTGGCTCCACCCCTATAGTCATCATTGATGAATTTAAATGAAAATAAATTATCATGAACATAAATTATCAAAAAGGGTAAATTAAGTCTAAATTAATGAGATTTTATTTAATTTGTTATTTGTTTTTTAGCTCCCAGAACAATAATCATCGTTTCTTCTATTTGTCATAGAATTTCAACACCTCTGTAGGAAGTCTTATTTTTAACAAGTCCTATGGAAAGTTAAGTTGGTAAGATAATTTGATAGATTGAGAATTTTAGTTTCTCC